ACCAAATTTTAGAGTGCTATTTTCATGCACGTGAGCTTGAAAAGTAGCCCCCGAAAAATAAATTTTATTTTTTTCCCTGGTGTCTGTGTAGGTGTGGGAGGTGTACAACGAGAGGAGATGTTTGAGGACCTACCTTGGACACAAGCAGGCCGTACGAGATATCGCCTTCAACAACGACGGCAGTCGCTTCCTCTCGGCTGGATACGACCGCTACATCAAGCTGTGGGACACAGAGACAGGTGTGTGTGTGTGCGTGCGTGCGTGTATGTGTGTGTGTGTGTGTGTGCGTGCGTGTGTGTGCGCACCTGTGTGCGTGTTTGTGCGCATCTGGTCTATCTAAAAAATAATTGTAAGAGGATTTAAACGATTTTGAACGGTCGTGAAATTCGCCTGGAAAATAAAGTAATAAATAATTTAATTTAATTTAATTTAATTTACCACTAAACAATTATTGAACGGTTAACAATCATAAATAATATTTCTAGAGTTACTATGACTTATTTAAATCTATTTAAATATTAAATCGTTAATGATTCGCAGGTGAATGCATCTCAAAGTTCACGAGCAGAAAGGTTCCTTACTGTGTGAAGTTCAATCCGGATGAAGACAAACAGCATCTGTTCGTAGCCGGAACATCCGACAAGAAGATCGTCTGTGTATGTTCAATTGTTCACCCGATGTATGCGTATCTCTCCCTTCCTTCCTCTCTCCCTTCTCCCTCCCTCTCTTCCTCCCTCCCTTCCTCCCTTCTCCCTCCCTCTCTTCCTCCCGCTCTCCCTCCCTCTCTTCCTCCCTCCCTTCCTCCCTCTCTTCCTCCCTCCCTTCCTCTCTCCCTCCCTCCCTTCCTCCCTTCCTTCCTCCCTTCTCCCTCTCTCTCTTCCTTTCTCTTTCTATTCCTTCCTCCCTTCCTCCCTTCTCCCTCCCTTCCTCCCTTCTCCCTCTCTTCCTCCCTCCCTCCCTCTCTTCCTCCTCCTCTTCCTCCCCGCGAATTCTTCCACTGCTTCTTCCTCCTTCCTCCGCCCTCCTCTCTTCGCTCCCTCCCTGGTAATTTCTCTACCTCGCTCGTGGCTTTCTTTCTCGCGCTCTCTCTCTCTATCACTCCCCTATAACTATCTCTCTATCTTTCTCTGACTCCGTCTCTGTCTCTGGAGAGCAATCAATTGTTCATAAATTGCTACCTTATGTTCACGAGCTGTCGCGTAATACAAAGTGAAACCATTATCAAAACGATACTCTGACAGAGTGTGTGACGTCATTTACGATATATCACTATCGCGTGTGTGCGGGTGGATGCGTTTCCCCAATGGCAGCCACTTGCGCTGTCTTCGTGGTTTTATACATCAGGCCATAATAAAAATATAATTTGTTTGCCCTCACCTGACCGGACCGCGCCAAAAAGGGGCCGACCTCGGAAAATATTTTTATGATCTCTTTTCCAAATATTTTTTTTTTACAAATTTGATCACTGTACATTAATATAAATCTGTAGGCAATACATTATATGTACGAAGCAAAACAAACATTCAGCAATTCTACACACAGCACACCCGAGCATGTAGACACCATGCTGAAATTTGTAAAAGACGCCCCGCTCAAAAAAAAAAGCTACCTACCTACAACTTTTCAAGCCTAGGGTCGGATGAGGCAAACAAATGATTTTTTAAATTGTGCTTATAGAACGATAAATATCCTATCTAATATCACACACTATCTCTACAACTCTCTCTCTATCTCTCGTGCTGCAGGGGACATTACTCCGGCGAGATAATATCAGAGAGTAGACCGGCCACTGGGGGCGGTAACACAATCAACGTTCGTCGACGACAACGAAGCGATTCGTGTCGACGTCAGACGGACAAGAGCCTCGCGTTCGCTGGAATGGTGAGTGGGTAGTGACGTCCGGCCTGGCCAGGTGGCGCTGTCGACGCCGAGGCGTTGGTCGGAACGTGATATATGTTTGTTGTTGTTGTTTTTGTATTGTATTGTTTTGTTATTGTTGTTTTTTGTTATAGTCCAGTTTTGTCAACTGTTTGTGTTTTGTTATCGTATTGTTTGTTATTGTTTGTGATTGGCTATAGTCAGATGCAGCTTGTAGAAATCGCATGAGTCGTGCCGTCCGTGCGTCCCGTCAACAGTTGGGCCACAAAATCTTAATATACCGCTCGACGTACGGTCACGAATATTCGGCGGAACGTGGGGGGTAATCGCGAAAAACGAGTTGGGATGTCGAAGCTGGGGGTCAAGGTCAAAGGTCAAGAGGTGTAAAATAAGGGGGAACATTCACTCCTTAACTTAAGGTATAGGGGAGAATGCAGAATTGCGCACAAATCTAAACGGCCTCGACCTATGGCTCGTGATAGCCGGTGTATAGCATCTATGGTAGGAAAAGAACACTGTGCGAAAATTTGTGAGGTCAACAGGTCAAAGGTCAATGGCACAGGCAAGATTTTAGGACATTTTCTGAGGACATCTGGTCTGACGGATGGCAATTGAAAAACTTTTTTTTTCAGCGGTGACGCTACGCATTTTTATGGCTTTAATTGAATAGGACCATGAAATGTGCTTTCCTACTGACAGGTGCGAAGAGTAAGTGTCTGATAACCTTTTGACCCTCAAGCAGGAGGATTTAAACAATGGATTTGTTGACTGTTTACAAAGGAGTGAACTTGCTTTTGCTATTAGAGCCGCCCACCCCTCACCCTCCACCCTGTAGCTGCGGTGCTGGGCCAGTAATAGTGCGGTGGCAGTATTGCAAAACATACGAGCCCGGTCACGTCGTCAAGGGGCAGGAAGTGTGAAGTCACCTATCAGATCTCGTTACTATTAAGGGTAGTTTCTAGCTGATCTGTTGTTGTTGTTGTTGTTGTTGTTTGTTGTTGTTTGACAGGTTGTGACATGTTTGTTGTTGTAGTTATTGTGTTTACATTTGTCTGATGTGTGTTGTTTTACAGGGATACACCATGTGGATATGAAGTTACATTGCTGACTGGTTTGTTGTTGTTTATTGTTTGTTATTACTGTTTGTTGTTGTTTACAGGGATAAACTGTGGAATATGAAGTACATATAGCCGACTGTTGTTGTTGTTTAATTGTTGTTAATTAACTGTTGTGTGTTTGTTTACAGGATATACCTGTGGATATGAAAGTAGCATTGCCGACTGTTTGTTGTTGTTTATTGTTGTTATTAACTGTTGTTGTGTTTTGTTTACAGGGATACACCTGGGATATGAAGTACATTCCGACTTTGTTTGTTGTTTATTGTTGTTAATTAACTGTTGTTTGTTGTTGTTTACAGGGATATACCTTGTAGGATATGAAGTACATTGCCGACTGTTGTTGTTGTTTATTGTTGTTATTAACTGTTGTTGTTGTTTACAGGGATATACCTGTGGATATGAAGTACATTGCCGACTGTTGTTGTTGTTGTTGTTTATTGTTGTTATTAACTGTTGTTGTTGTTGTTAGCAGGGATACACCTGTGATAGAAAGTAATAGCTGACTGTTTTGTTGTTTAATATGTTGTTATTACTGTTGTTGTTGTTGTTATTGTTTTACAGAGGATATACCTGTGGATATGAATACATTGGCCAACTGCTTGTTGTTTGTTTATTGTTGTTATTAACTGTTGTTGTTGTTTACAGGGATATACCTGTGGATATGAAGTACATTGCCGACTGTTGTTGTTGTTTATTGTTGTTATTAACTGTTGTTGTTGTTGTTTACAGGGATATACCTGTGGATATGAAGTACATTGCCGACTGTTGTTGTTGTTTATTGTTGTTATTAACTGTTGTTGTTGTTGTTTACAGGGATATATCTGTGGATATGAAGTACATAGTTGACTGTTGTTGTTGTTTAATTGTTGTTATTATAACTGTGTTGTTGTTGTTTACAGGGATATACTGTGTGGATAGAAGTTAACATTGCCGACTGTTTGTTGTTGTTTTCATTGTTGTTATTTAACTGTTTGTTGTGTTGTTTTAGCAGGATAATGACCTGTGGATATGGAAGTATATAGCCGACTGTTTGTTGTTGTTTTATTGTTGTCATTTAACTGTTGTTATTGTTTACAGGGATATACCTGTGGAATGAAGTACAATGCCGACTGTGTTGTTTGTTTATGATGCTGTTTAATTAACTGTTGTTTGCTTGTTTACAGGGATATACCTGTGGATATGAAGTACATTGCCGGACTGTTTGTTGTTGTTTATTGTTGTTAATTGAACTGTTGTTGTTGTTGTTACGAGGATATATCTGTGGAGTATGAAGTAACATAGTTGACTGTTTGTTGTTGTTTATTTGTTGTTATTAACTGTTGTTGTTGTGTTTACACAGGGGATATAACCTGTGGATTATGAAGTACATTGCCGACTGTTGTTTGTTGTTTATTGTTGTTATTAACTGTTGTTGTTGTTGTTTACAACAGGGATTATACCTGTGGAATAATGAAGTAGCATAGCTGACTGTTGTTGTTGTTTATTGTTGTGAATTAACTGTTGTGATTGTTCTGTTTAGCAGGGATATACCTGTGATATGAAGTATCATTGCGACTGTTGTTGTGTTTATTTGTTGTTATAACTGTTGTTGTTGGTTGTTTACAGGGATATACTGTGGATTGAAGTACATTGCGACTGTTGTTGTTGTTTAATTGTTGTTATTAACTGTTGTTGTTGTGTGTTTCAGGATATATCTGTGGATATGAAGTACAATTGACGACGTGTTGTTGTTGTTTATTGTTTTATTAACTGTATGTTGTTGTTGATTTACAGGGATATACCTTGTGGATATGAAGTACACTGCCGACTGTTTTGTTGTTTATTTGTTGTTATTAACTGTTGTTGTTATGTTTACACAGGATAAATACCTGTGGATATGAAGTCATTGCGACTGTTGTTGTTGTTTTATTGTTGTTATTAAAACTGTTTTGTTGTTAACAGGGAATATTAACTGTGGATTTATGAAGTACATTGCCGACTGTTGTTGTTGTTTATTGTTGTTTATTAACTGTTGTTGTTGTTGTTTACAGGGATATAACCTTGTGATATGAATACATTGCCGACTGTTGTTGTGTTGTTTAATTGTTGTTATTAACTGTTGTTGTTGTTGTTGTTTAGCAGGAGGATATACCTGTGGATATGAAAGTACATTGCCGACTAGTTGTTTGTTGTTTATTGTTGTTATAACTGTTGTTGTTGTTGTTGTTTTACATGGCCAGGAGATATACCATGTGGATAGAAGTACATAGCCGACTGTTTGTTTTGTTTATTGTTGTTATTACTAGATATTGTTGTTGTTTTACTAGGGATATACCTGTGGATATGAATACATGCCGACTGTTGTTTGATTGTATTGTGCGTTATTGAACTGTTTGTTGTTGTTGTTGTTTGTTGTACAGGGATACTACGCGTGTGGATATGAAGTACAGTTGCCTGACTGTTGTTGTTTGTTTATTGTTGTTAATTATTACTGTTGTTGTTGTTGTTGTTTACAGGGATGATACCTGTTGATATGAAGTACATTGCCGACTGTTGTTGTTGTTTAATTGTTTTTATTAACGTGTTGTTGTTGTTGTTTATCAGGGATATATCTGTGGATATGAATACATTGCGACTGTTTGTTGTTCGTTTATTGTTGTTATTCACTGTTGTTGTTGTTGTTTACAGGGATATATGCTGTGATATGAAGTACATTGCCGACTGTGTTGTTGTTGTTTATTGTTGTTATTAACTGTTGTTGTTGTTGTTGTTTACAGGGATATACCTGTGGATATGAAGTACATTGCCGACTGTTGTTGTTGCGTTAATAACAACAATAACTGTTGTTGTTGTTGTTTACAGGGATATACCTGTGGATATGAAGTACATTGCCGACTGTTGTTGTTGTTTATTGTTGTTATTAACTGTTGTTGTTGTTGTTTACAGGGATATACCTGNTTGTTGTTGTTTATTGTTGTTATTAACTGTTGTTGTTGTTTATTGTTGTTGTTATTGTTTACAGGGATATACCTGTGGATATGAAGTACATTGCCGATCCTACCATGCATTCAATGCCGGCTGTGACGCTGTCACCTAACAGTAAGTGCAGGCGTCCGTGTGGCCGAGTAAATGAAAGTAAATTGACGTCCACGCAAACACACGCACGCATGCACGCACGCACGCATGCACACACGCACGCACGCGCGCACGCACGCACACATGCATGCGCACATGCACATGCACACGTACATGCACACGCACACGCACGCACATGCACACGCACATCACACGCACACGCACATGCACATGCACACGCACACGCACACGCACATCCACACGTACATGCACACGCACATGCACACGCACACGTACATGCACACGCACATGCACACGCACATGCACACGCACGCACATGCACATGCACATCCACACGTACATGCACACGCACATGCACACGCACATGCACACGCACACGCGCATGCTCGCACGCACGCACGCACGCGCACATGCACATGCACACGCACATGCATACGCACATGCACATGCACACGCACATGCACACGTACATGCACACGTACATGCACACATGCACGCACGCACTCACGCACGCACGCACTCACGCACGCACGCGCACATGCACGCACGGACAATGGCATCCC